CATCCTGAGGGGCACTGACCACACACCTGCACCCCTTCCCTGGGCAGAACTGACCACCCATCTGCATCCCTTCCCCTGGCCATTCCAAGACCACCCACCCACCTCCACCCCTTCCCCACCCATCCCAGGGGGACCCTACCACTCCTCTCTCTCCATCCCATCCCATCCCATCCCATCCCATCCCATCCCACCCCATCCCCCATCCCATCCCATGGATCCCATCCCACCCACCCCTCTCCCATCCCATCCTGGGGGTCCTGGCGGGGGTGCTGACCCCAGCTGCCATTCCCAGCCTGCAGAACGTCATCCCCCTGGGCGAGGGGGAGGTGGACGCCCCACAGGACCCTGAGGTGCAGCTGCAGGAGCAGGAGAAGAGGATCGAGATCTCCTGTGCCCTGGCTGCCGAGGCCTCGCGCCGCGGCCGGATGCTCTCGGGTGAGGAACGGGGGCTTGGAGGGTCAGACCCTGCAGATCCCTGGCACAGCGAGGTGCCCGGAGGGCAGGGGGATGAGGGCAGGACAGGAGTCAGCCTTGGGACAGGGGGACAGTGATGCCAACAGCTCCCAGACCTGCCTGCCACACCCGGGGCTGCCCAGCTGGGGTGGAGCAGCTGTTCTAGCTGGGCACAGCTTCCAGCATGAGAATGGGAGTGCCTGCCTGGGTGGCATGAGGTGGCATGAGATGGCATGAGGTGGCTGAGCAAGCACGGTGGCACCCCACGCAGGTAGGTTGTGGTGTCAGTCCAAGCTCGGGGAATTGTGGTGTTACCCCGTGCCAGAGGGATTGTGGTGGCACAGGCTGGCACCTTGTGGCCGTGCATGGCAGTGCTTCATGCTGGGGGTGGATTGTGGTGGCACGCTGTGCCCAGGTGAGCATGGTGACATCCTGTACCTGGCTGACTGCAGTGCCACACCGTGTCCAGGTGCCCTCGGTGCCACACCGTGCCTGGGTGCCCTCGGTGCCACACCGTGCCTTGTCCATGAGGAGCCCTGCCGGGAGCTCACGTGTGCGTGCTGTGCCCAGCTGTCACTCTCTGTCCTTCCTGCCAGCTGTGACTCTGCCCTGCCAGCTGTGGCTGCTTGTCTTGCCCAGCTGTGGCTGCTTTTCCTGCCAGCTGTGGCTCTGCCTTGCTCAGCCATGGCTGTTTGTCCTTCCCAGCTGTGGCTGCTTGTCTTGCTCAGCCATGGCTGCTTTTCCTGCCAGCTGTGACTCTGCCCTGCCAGCTGTGATTCTGCCCAACCTGCGCTTGCTTTCCCCCTTTCCCTTCTCTTTCCTCCCTGCCCCTGCCCTCTGCGCTGTCCCTTCCACTCTGTCCCTTCCGCGCTGTCCCCTCCTCTGTCCCCTCCGCTGTCCCCTCCACTGTCCCCTCCACTCTGTCCCCTTTGCTCTGTCCCCTCCTCACTGTCCCTTCCGCGCTGTCCCCTCTGCACTGTCCCCTCCTTGCTGTCCCCTCTGCTGTCCCCTCTGCTGTTCCTTTTGCTCTGTTCCCTCTGCACTGTCCCCTCCACTGTCCCCTCCATGCTGTCCCCTCCATGCTGTCGCCTCCACTCTGTCCCCTCCGCTGTCCCCTTTCCGCTGTCCCCTCCACTCTGTCCCCTCCGCTGTCCCCTTTCCACTGTCCCCTGCGCTCTCCCGCGTCCTTCACCCCTCTCTCCGTTTCTCGTTTCCAGCTCAGTGCGCCACCCCCAGCCCTCCCACCTCCCCAGCCTCCCCGACTCCACCGACCAACCCGCTGTCGTCCGAGCCGCCCCGGGCCGACGGCAGCCACCTCATGCGGGTGTGAGCCTGTGACGTAAGCACCTCTTCTCTCTGACGTCATCCCCTCCATCCCCTCGCTGCCACGTCAGCCCCGCCTCCTCCATGGACCGTGTGCCCCCCCCCCAAAGCCAAAGGGGGAAAATGGGGGGACCAGCATGAAAACCGGGGGGTCCCAACCTCCCCTGGATCCTTGGAGCCAAATCCCGGCCGTGTTTCCCATGGGGGGTGGGCGTGGGGTGGAGCCCCCCCAGCTCAGCCCCTCTGTCCTGTCCCACTCCCCAGCTCAAGCCCTGGCTGCTGCTGGCGCCACCAAGTTCCACGGGGCCACGTTTTAGTCCCCTCCTGAGGTGACACCGAAGCTCTCGCCACCGTCCTCGGTTCTCCCGGACCCCCTTCCCTCCCTCCGGCGGCGACAGCAGCGGGAGAGGTGGCACAGACAGGAGGCACGTCCCAAGGAGATGGGCAGGGGGCTGGGATTGTCCCCAGGGAGCCACCAGGGCTGTCAGTGGACACAGGGACACACCCAGACAGTGGCCACAGGGACACACCTGGACAGCTGTGACAGCGGCCACCAGGGCACACCTGGACACCTGTGACAGAGGCCACCAGGACACAGCTGTGACAGTGGCCACCAGGGCACAACCAGACAGCTGTGACAGTGGCCACAGGCACACAGCTGTGACAGTGGCCGGGACACACCTGGACACCTGTGACAGAGGCCACCAGGACACAGCTGTGACAGTGGCCACCAGGGCACAACCAGACAGTTGTGGCAGCAGCCACTGGGACACAGCTGTGACAGTGGCCACAGGGACACAACCGGACAGCTGTGACAGTGGCCATAGGGACACACCTGGACAGCTGTGACAACGGCCACAGGGACACAACTGTGACAGTGGCCCTGCAGCGAGCACAGGACTCCTGGGACAGCCCCCCAAGGTCTGTGAAGGGGCTCTTGGGGTGGGGACCCGCCTGTCCCCACCACGGATGGTGCTGCCACCTCCCAGCAGACTTGGCTGCTCCCCCTTGACTCCTCGGGCGCCGTTTCCCCTCCCTGAGCTGTGACCCTGATTTTGGAGCCCGTCTGTGTAACCTCCGGTGGCTCAGCTGGAGGAAGAGGGGACAGGACGGATGGAGGTGGCACTGGGGGGACACGGAGGTGTCCAGGGCGCTCCAAGCACGGAGCGGGAGCTCTGGGGGCAGAGCGGGGAATTGGGGTGCCAGGTGGGATAACGGAGCCGTGGGGTCGGCAGGGACCCCTCTGGAGGGTGGGGACAGTGCTGAGGAGGGGTTTGGGGACAGAGGTGTCACCTGGGGACCCGCTGTCACCCTCCAAAAATCCCTTCCCGCGGCTCTCCAGCCCCTTCCAGCGGTTCAGATTTCCTGTAGCAAATTCCCCCTTTTCTTTATCATCCCGGAGAGTGGGAAAGAAGCAGAATCCCTGGAAGGATGTGAGCATGGCAGGGGCCAGGAGCTGGATCCCAAATCCCAAATCTCCAACCCCAAATCCCAATCCATCCCTCCTGGCCCCATCCCAAACCCCCCAGGACCCTCCCTGCATCCCAATCCCAACTTAGCAATACTTGTAGGATCCCTGGAGCCCTAAACCCCGCTCCCATCTGAGCCTCCCTCTGCCCCTTTAGCTCATAAAGCTGGCCCTTTATTTTGCTATTTACATGCCTTAATATATGTTTGATGGAAATTCTACATTTATAATATATATCTATATTTGGTTTTTCCTCTTCTTTTCCCGGGAAAAAGCTCGTGCCGAGCTCTCTCTTCTCCGCAGGATTTGTTGGCGCCAGCCCCGCCAACAAAAAAAAAAAAAAAAGAAAAAAAAGATTCTTTACCAATTTATCAGAGGGGGAAGGAAATTAAAAAAAAAAACAAAACACAAAAAAAAAAAACAAAAAAAAAGAAGAAGAAAAAAAAAAAGGAAAAAAACCTATTTAAAAAATATATCTATTTTTTCTGCTTTTATTAAAAGCAAATTTATTTAAAATAAAATATACAGAGACTGTAAGTTTGAAGAGAGAATGAGTTTATTTCCCTGTGTCCCCTCTCGGGTCACTGGGGCAGACCCCCCCCTTATTCTGGGGACACCTTGGGAACATCCTGAGGTGGCTGTGGGGCAGCAATTCCCATCTCCAGGACCCAAAGCTCCCACCCCGCCCTTCCCAAAGCCACCAGCTGCTGTCCCCAAAGTACGACCCGGCCGCGATTTTATTTTATTTTATTTAAAAAAAAGAACAATAATAAAAAAAAGGAAACCAAACCTTAATCAATTAATTTTATTTTGGTTATTATTTTTCATAAACACTTCATAAAGCAGTGACTTGTTAGCCCGGAAAGGATTTGCATCGGGAGGAAAGAAAGAAATAAATAAATCTATTTATGCATTTGGAGAGGGTGGGATGGGAGGGCTTTGGTTTTCTGGGATATTTTCCTAGTGGTAGAGAAATAAAAATATCTATGAAACAACGACGTTCTCCTGTCTTTTTTTCCCGGGGGTGGGCTTGGATGTGGATTTTAGTGTTGGGGTGGAGAAGCAGGGGGTGATGGGGGTCCAGAGGCAGCTGCTCCTCCCTCTCACTGGATTTTGTTTACCCACTAGGGTTGGGTTTGGTGCTTGTGGAGGTGCTGTCTCTGAAACTGTGACATGAAGCCACCACTTCTCCCTGGATCCACCATGTCCCTGCTGGAACCACCATGTTCCTTCTGGAACCACCATGTCCCCCTTGAGCCACCGTGTCCCTTCTAGAGCCACCATGACCCCTGGAGCCACCATGTCCCTCTAGAGCCACCTTATCCCCTCTGAAGCCACCATGTCCCTCTGGAGCCACCATGTCCCCTGGAGCCACCACATCCCCCTTGGAGCCACCATGTCCCCCTGAAGCCACCATGAGCCCTGAAGCCATCACTGGAACCATCGTGTCCCTTCTGGAACTACCTTGTCCCCGCTGGAGCCACCATGTCCCCTTGGAGCCACCTTGTCCCCCCTGGAGCCACCATGTCCCTGGAGCCACCGTGTCCCCCAGGAGCCACCACTGGAACCACCGTGTCCCTTCTGGAGCCACCGTGTCCCCTGGAGCCACCGTGTCCCCCACCGGAGGTGGCGCCGTGGGCGTTCCCGGGCCGTTAATGATTCCCAGGATGACGTGGGGACTAAAGGGCTTTTCCAAGGGTCACTCTGCAAGCGGGGCCACCCTCGCCCGGCCTCGCCCAGCCCCGTCACCGCCAACATGGTGGCCCTGAGCGACTTCCAGCGTAAGCAGGCGCGGGGTGGTCGTGTCCCGGCTGGAATTCCTGTCCCGGCTGGAATTCGAGACCCGGGAGCTCCGTGGGGACCTTTGGCAGATCCCAGTGCTGGCTGGGATCCCCCCTGGATGGCGTGGTTGGGGCAGGGAGGGGTGAGATGGAAAAGGGGATGGGCTGGGGGTGGGGAGGTTCTCCAGGATCATCCTGGGATCATCTCCAGCTTTTCCTGGAGGGAAAGGGGAAAGGGGAAAGGGGAAAGGGGAATGGGAAAGGGAAAGGGAAAGGGGAAAGGGAAAGGGAAAGGGAAAGGGGAAAGGGTAAAAGGGGAAAGGGAAAGGGGAAAGGGAAAGGGAAAGGGAAAGGGAAAGGGAAAGGGGAAAGGGAAAGGGAAAGGGAAAGGGGAAAGGGGAAAGGGAAAGGGAAAGGGAAAGGGGAAAGGGGAAAGGGAAAGGGAAAGGGGAAAGGAGAAAGGGAAAGGGAAAGGGGAAAGGGAAAGGGAAAGGGAAAGGCTTGGGGAAAGGCTCGGCAGGGATTTCCCGTGGAGTTTTCCTTTGTGGTTCCTGATTTATCCAGTGCCCTTGGGGGTTTCTGGAGCACCAACGGCCTCCTCCAGGGCTGGCCTGGGTGTAAAGGCAGATCCTGAGATTTGGGAAAAGCCCAAAGTGTTTTTGGGAAGGAGCAGGACAGGGAGATGCCGGGATCCCAGGTGTGGAGCCTTTGCCTCTGCTCACCCATTTTCCACAGGGATCGGAGTGGGCCTGGTTGGCTTCGGCCTCTTCTTCCTCCTCTTTGGGATCCTCCTGTACTTCGACTCGGTGCTCCTGGCTTTTGGGAACGTGAGTAGGGCCGGCCTGGGGGTCCCCACAGCGGGATCAAGGAGCTGCCCTGACCCTCTCCCCTCCCTCCTCCCAGCTCCTCTTCCTCTCTGGCTTGGTCTTCATCATCGGCTTCCGGAGGACCTTCACCTTCTTCTTCCAGCGGTCCAAGCTGAAGGGCACCAGCTTCTTCTTCGGGGGGCTCATCGTGGTCCTCATGCGGTGGCCGATCCTGGGCATGCTGCTGGAGGCCTACGGCTTCATCTCCCTCTTCAGGTGCGGGATGGGATCCTTGGGATGAGATCCTAGGGATGGGATCCTGGGCATGAAATCCTGGGATGGGATCCCTGGGATGAGATCCTTGGGATGGGATCCCTGGGATCATCCCTTGGGATGGGATTCTGGGCATGGGATCCTTGAGATGAGATCCTGGGCATGGGATCCCTGGGATGATCCCTCAGGGTGGAATCGTGGGAATGAGATCTTCATTATGAGATCCTTGGGGTGAAATCCCTGGGATGGGATCCTCGGGATAGAGCCTGGGCTGGGGGATGCTCCCCAGAGCTCAGCAGGATCTTTTGTGTCCACACAGGAGCTTCTTCCCAGTGGCTTTCGGGTTTTTGGGCTCGCTGGCAAACATCCCGCTGCTGAGCCAGGTGAGAGGGGGCAGGAGACTCCTCGGGGTGGGCAGTGCCGAGCTGGGATCCATCCCCCTGTGCCCCTGGGATGGGCAGTGCCCGGGAGGGATCCATCCCCCTGTGCCCCTGGGATGGGCAGTGCCCGGGAGGGATCCATCCCCCTGTGCCCCTGGGATGGGCAGTGCCCGGGAGGGATCCATCCCCCTGTGCCCCTCATGGTGGGCAGTCTCCGGCTGGGATCTGTCCCCACGGATGGCATTGCACAGAAAATGTCACCGCGGTGTCCCCAGAGCTGACCAGGTGGATTTTCCCGCTAACCCTGCTCTCTCCCTGTTGCAGCTCCTGCAGAAGATGGGGGACAGCGGCTCCATGGTGTGACCTGAGCGGTTCTGGGCCAAGTGGCTGCGATGGGACAGGGTGGGAGAGCCCCAGGTCTGGCTGTGCCCAAGAGCTGGGGACCCCTTTGTCCCCAGGACCCTCAGTGCTGGCCAGAGCCACCCCTGAGCAGGGACAGTGTTCCCTCACTGTCCCACGGCGCTCCTGAGCCAGGCTCCAGGCTCCAAGGGCTATACCAGGCTGGATTCTGGAATTCCTGCAGTTATTTAATTATTTTCGTTAAAAGATTTAATTTAATAAAAAAATATCTGACAGTGAGCTCAGACTCAGCTCCTTTCCATTGGCTCAGGGCTTGTCCCAGCGCTGGCACCTCCTGATGTCACCAGGAGGCATCGTGGCCATGGCTGGAGGTGGCACAGGGACATTCCCATGGTTGAGGATGGCACAGAGACATTCCCTTGGCTGGAGGTGGCACAGGGACATTCCCATGGCTGGAGGTGACACAAACACATTCCCATGTCTGCCTCTGGAGGTGGCACAGGGACCTTCACATGGCTGGAAGTGGCACAGGAACTTTCCCCTGGTCATAGCTGGAGATGTCCCGGGGACATTCCTGTGGCTGGAGGTGGCATGGGGACACTCCTATGGCCAGCACTGGGGGTGGCCCAGGGTCCTTCCCATGGCAGGAGCTTCCCCAGTGTCACCCCAGGTGACTTTAAGGATTTTTTCCATCTGGCTGCTGAGGTTCCTGTCCCCAGGAGAGCAGGTTGGATCCTCAGCCTCTCCAGGGCTCAGGTGTAGCCCAGCCAGGCTCCGCGAGCGCTGGGGAAACCGGAGTTTAATTAAACTCAAAAGCAATCTCATCAAAGCTGCTCCTCCTTAACGAGCGGGAATTAATTAACAAGTTTGAGCTGAACCTGTTCCCTCTGGAGCGCAATGGGAGCTGGTGGCTCTATGCCTGTTGTCACCTGGCTGTGCCCGTTGTCACCCAGCTGTGCCCATTGTCACCTGGCTGTGCCTGGGTGGCATTGAGGGATCCCAGAGTCATGGAATGATTTGGGGTTTTAGGGATCTTCACGCCCACCCCATCCCATCCCATCCCATCCCATCCCATCCCATTCCCTGCCATGGGATACCTTCCCTTACCCCAGGTTCCTCCAAACCCCACCCAGACACTTTCTCCATTCCATCCTTCCCCATCTTCCCCAGGATCCTCCATTCCATCCCTCCCTATCTCGTCTGGGATCCTCCATTCCATCCCTCCCCATCTCCTTCAGGATCCTCCATTCCTTCCCATCCCAGCCTGTCCAGGATCCTCCATCCCTTCCCACCCTCCCAGTCCTGCTTCTCCAGGATCTTCCCTTCCTTCCATCCCTCCCCATCTCCTCCAGGATCCTCCACCTCTTCCCTTTCTCCCACCCCACCCTCATCCTCATCCCCATCTCTCCAACCCACAAACCCATCCCCACCATACCCGTGTCCCCCAAACCCTGACCCCATTTTGGGGGTGTCCCCATCCCCCTCAGCTTTTCCAGGCTGGGAAGGGCTGGGAGCTCCCTCCCCAGAGCTCCTCTCCAGAAGGATTTTCCCAGGAATTTTTTTCCCCCTCCAGCTCTGTAAATCCTCTCCCTGGCAGGGTTTTGGTTTCAAGCACCAGCTCCGGGTTTGCCCTGACGTCAATCCCCGAATTCCCCCGGTGCTGGTGCCATCCAGAGCCTCCCCTAAGCCCTTCCCAAAAGTTGTTTTTACCCTGGAGCTTTTTGGTCACCCGGAATGAGGATCCTCACGAGCCTCCTGTGCTTTCACCAGCAGCAAAATCCTGGATTAGAAAAGTGTGGAAAATATGAGGGATAGAGCAGAAATTCACCTCCTTTTTTCTGTGCTGCTGCAAAAAAAAATCCCTCAGGAAATCAAAGCTGTTTGGCCAAACTTCTCAATGATTTTGTTTGGAGTGGAAAGAGTTGAAAAAATTTGGATTTTATTTTAAGGAAAGCACCCACACAGCCTGGCAGGAGAGAAGAAGGAATTTATCCGTGGGGAAGGCGATTGTTCCTCTCTGGGAAATGTTTTCCTTCCATTCTCTCTGAAAAACAGGCAGGAAAATAACTGGAAAATTCCCCGCTATTTCCAGAGTAGCTGCTCCTGGTGGGATCCATAATTGGATAAAACCCCAGGGTTTTGGAGCAAGGTTCCCCACGTGGATCCAGTGAGGGATTCCTGCCTTTCCCTGAAACCCTGGAACCTCCTGTGCTTGAAAATTCCACTTAAGGGACGTTTTGGGGCTGCATGGGAAGAATTCAGGACCTTCCCTGTGGATCTGAAGGGCTGGGAGTGAACCCAGCACTGTCCCAGAGCTGCCTGATGTCACTGTCCCCTTCCCTGCCTTGTCCCTGTCCCTCTGACACCCCCAAAAACACTTTTCCAGGTTTTTTAAACCTTTTCCATCACACCAGAGGGGGACTGGGAAATTCCTTGGGGGGAAAGTGTCCCATGCTGGGGACACCTCAGAGCCCTGGAGCTGGGACAGCCACTCCAGTGGCCACCCCAGAGCAGCAGCCCTTGGCTCTCTGATGGATTTGGGGACGTCATTTTCCCCGTTTTCCCCCCATTTCCCATCCCAAGGGGGTTTTGGGGTGACCCCAGTGGCAGGGAAGGGTTGTGCCTCTCTGGTTCCCCCATCCCAGCTGATCCCACCCTGGATCCCCACAGGAGAGGGACAAAGCCATGCCCAGAATACCCCAAAATCCTCAAGGATCCCACAGATGTGGCCATGCCCAGAATACCCCAAAATCCTCAGGGATCCCACAGATGTGGCCATGCCCAGAATACCCCAAAATCCTCAGGGATCCCACAGATGTGGCCATGCCCAGAATACCCCAAAATCCTCAAGGATCCCACAGATGTGGCCATGCCCAGAATACCCCAAATCCTCAGGGATCCCACAGATGTGGCCATGCCCAGAATACCCCAAAATCCTCAAGGATCCCACAGATGTGGCCATGCCCAGAATGGCCCAAAATCCTCAGGATCCCATAGATGTGGCCATGCCCAGAATGGCCCAAAATCCTCAGGCATCCCACAGATTTGGCTGCCCTGGATCAGAAGGGGCTGGAAATTCAGATCCTCACAAATGGGGACCCCTTCTCTTTTTGAAGCCCCAAATCCTCAGGGATTTTGAAGCCCCAAATCCTCCGGGATCCCACAGATGTGGCTGCCCTGCATCAGAAGGGGCTGGAAATTCAGAACCCCACAAATGGGGACCCCATTTTCTTTGAAGTCCTGCTGCACCCGAGGCTTTTCCTGTGGGGAACGGAGCTTGGCAGAGCCCGTGGGATGCCCGGGCAGGGATTTACAGCCGTGGGCTCCCTGCCAGCCCCTCTCAGCTCCTGACCCCGCTCCCTCCCCCCAACCTGCCCGGCCACGAGGCTCCGGGCAGTGACGCAGGGACACGGGTCCTGCGTGGGAAAAGACGTCAGGGATGGGGGCAGAGCCCCGTGGGGCTGAGCCCTGGGGGTTGCCGGGGTCAGCAGAGCCCTGGCAGCCAAAATCCCACAGGGAATGAGGCGGTGAATGTCCAGTTTTTGGGGGAATGTTGTTTGGAGTTTGTGGGGTGTGCCTTGGATTGGGGTGGCAGCAGGGCTCTGAGCAAATCCCAGAAACAGGAGGGTGATTGTGGGGTTGGGCTGGGGGGAAATGTGTCCTCAGGGATCTTCCAAGAACAAAAGGAAAAGGGGTCCCCAGTTATGGGGATCGGAATTTCCAGCCCCTTCTGATCCAGGGAAGCCACATCTGTGGGATCCCTGAGGATTTGGGGTTTCAAAGGAAAAGGGGTCCCCATTCATGAGGATCCGAATTTCGAGCCCCTTCTGATGCAGGGCAGCCACATCTGTGGGATCCCTGATGATTTGGGGTATTCTGGACATGGACACATCTGCGGGATCCTTGAGGATTTTGGGGTATTCTGGACATGGCCACATCTGTGGGATCCCTGAGGATTTGGGGTTTCAAAGGAAAAGGGGTCCTCAATTATGGGGATCTGAATTTCCAGCCCCTTCTGATGCAGGCCAGCCACATCTGTGGGATCCCGGAGGATTTGGGGCTTCAAAATCCCTGAGGATTTGGGGCTTCAAAAGGAAAAGGGGTCCCCATTTGTGAGGATCTGAATTTCCAGCCCCTTCTGATGCAGGGCAGCCACATCTGTGGGATCCCTGAGGATTTGGGGTTTCAAAGGAAAAGGGGTCCCCAATTATGGGCATCAGAATTTCCAACCCCTTCTGGTCCAGGGCAGCCACATCTGTGGGATCCCTGATGATTTGGGGTCCTCAGGGTTCACCCATGAACATTTTTTATTGACTTTGGGGTCATTTCCCACTGAGATTCCTGAGGCTGGGAGACCCTGGGAGATGCAGGGCTGATGCAGCACCCTCTACCCTGGGCTGGGCACTGCCAGGGGGACACAGCAGCCTGGAGGGGTGCCAGGGGTGCAGCTGGAAGCTCCTGAGGGTTTTGAGCAGCGTCTCCCATCCCAAACACCAGGATCTGACCCCGTAAGGAGCAGCTGGGGTGAGTTTGGCCGTTCTCTGCTCTGAGCTTCAGGCCTCCTTGCCCAAGATGTCACCCAGACCTGTGCCACCACCCAGCACCCCCCGTCGGCTCTCCCAGGTGGCACCAGCAGGGATTGGTGCCCTTCACGTGCTGTGCTGGAGAGTGGAGGAATTCGGGAGCAATGAACCCCATGGAATGTGGGATCCATCTCTGAAACACCCACGGGTCCCATTGGCACGTTCCTGCGGGGCACAGGGGGCATCCTGGCCCTGCCACCCTCCATGGGGACTGTCCAGCCCCCTGCCCGGTGTTCTCCATGGCATTCCCAGCCTGCCCGGTGCTGTCCATGGCATTCCCAGTCTGATGGGCATTGTCCATGCCATTCCCAGCCTGCCCGGTGCTCTCCATGGCATTCCCACCCTGCCCAGTGCCATCCATGTCATTCCCAGTTTGCCCAGTGCCCTGCATGCCATTCCCAGTCTGCCCAGTTCTATCCA